AGGAGGAGGAGGAGGAGGGAGAGAGATAGGGCAGAGGGGTGAGGTTTTGCAGGAGGAGGAGGTTGAGGGGGTAGGGAGGAAGGGGACGGAGGAAGGAAGGGGGGGGGAGGAAGAGGGAGGGGGAAGGGGGCGCTTTTGGGTGGTGGCGGCGGGCGCGCTGGTCAGGCCCTGTTTGGAATTGTGAGGGACTAGAATGACCGGGGGGGATAGAGGCAGGGGCGCGTCTCGGATCCTGTTTCCGCGCCATCTTCTCCTACTCCTTCCCCTCCTCCTTCATTCCCGTCTTCGCTTATCCTCTCCCACCTCCTGCTGGTGCACTCTCCTATAAAGCTGTTTGCTTTGTTCTTGTTGCTGCTGCTGCTGCGGGTGCAGCTGACTGTAATCTCGCTCCTGCTGCGTCGATCAAGGGCTCTCATTGACCCACGTGTCGGTCTCTGAAGGAGATGGAAGAGAAGCCTCCTCGCCGCAATACTCTGTCAAGGGAGAACTCCTACTCTCTGCCCAGGTTTGAGCCTTCTTTATCTCTGTCGGTTCAGGGATCGAGTCCTGGTGGCAGCGACAGGGAAGATCTTCATCTCGATAACGCGGCGTTAGGTCAACCAGGTGGCGGCTCCAGAAGCGGTGCTGAGCTGGTTGTGCCAGGTGTCAAGCGGAGGGGTAGGGGACGGCCGCGGCTGGCTGAAGATGTTCGAGAGAAACACGCTGCATCTCGAGCAGATCTTCAGAAGAGATTACATAAGATTAGGAGGGAGAAAATGGCCACGCTGTGCAGAAGTATAAGCACTCATTATAAACTCAAAGAGAGTCTCTCGCAGGTGAGTCTATTCTTTCGTCCGTCATCTTTTTTTTTTTTTTTTTTTTTAATTACAGATCAGATATGAAACTGATCAGAACAGATACTACACCTGATCTTCTTCATGCTCATCATCATACTACACGTGGTGAGTGAAGATTTCAAATTCATCTCCTAGTTCATTGATTGTCAAGCCGCCGTTTGTTTTCCGCCTTCTTACTTCCTGTCTCTTATACACATCTAGATGTGTATAAGAGACAGTAACTGCGGACTGGATCAAACTCAGGAACAATGCTGCCTCGCAGGAGACAGCTCGAGCACTATTTCGGAACAAATGGTCTTCCCCCTTTCAATGGGCACAACTTTCAGAGGATAACAAACTGACATACTCAAATTTACTGTGGGATCACTCTGCACCCGGGCCTTGATTCTCAACTTTCCTATCTGTCAGCAACCACTGCTGAGAGGGCCTTTACAGTCTTATCCACACACTTCTGATCTTTCCGTAGAATCTAACCTGGTTTACCTCAACACAGGACTTCATCGGTCTTCATACCAGCCCTAATCCCACTAACAAATATGTCTTCACTTCTCCCCTCTACTGCAATAAGAAGCGAAGCCGGGTAATGCTCCCGGTCCTAACAAGTTCAGTTTTGCTGTGCACTTTTGTATTTATGATCAGTCATTCCGGGTAGATTTGTGAGGACCCCGGCCTCATTCGTGTTTCATAAGGGACGTTGGGCCCGGTTCCCAACACGTGTCGCTCCCCACGAATAGAATGGAGCTAATGTTGTGTTAAAAAAAAAAAAAAAAAAAAAAAAAAAAAAAAAAAAAGAGTGGTTATAGTCAAAATACGAAATTGTTATTTCAAAGTCATGCTCTCCCTCAACTGACAGAAATTCATAAAATATCACATTTGGCACATGTACAGCGGACAGTAAGGGCATAGCCACACCACTCTCGAAATTTGCAAAATGGGAATGAACTTCCCCCTAGAACACGACCAGATGGCCCCCCCACATTTTTGTCTTTTTCACATTTCGAGAGTGGTGTGGCGAGGCGCTAAGTGGAGCGATGTCCGACTGTCGGTTTTTGTACACAGTAGTGGAGCGAGGCCCTATGCCCTCAGGCAGATCTACTTCCCGCCCCTTTGACTCCATCATCACCATGGCTTCCCTTCTTCATCTGTTCATCTCCTCCTCTCTCTACACCTTTGAGCATCTCCGAGTCCTCCTCTCTCTACACCTTTGACAGAAAAAAAAAAAGAAAAAAGAAAAAAGAAAAAAAAAATCTGGCCCTGACGAGAGTCGGGTGATCGCCACCGTGCATGCAAGCATGGATGACACGCGCGGGGTGGACGTAACGATTCGCCTAGGGACGTGGTTCAGGGCATGCGACCCTTTTGACGACATGTATGTACTCCCCACCCACTACGGCTAGAAAAATCAGTGCATGTATGTGACCCCAAAAGCAGCCAGATCGAAATACTCCCATTCTGGACTCGTGTGGATGCCCCTGAACGGCATGGCAACCACATTCAATCGGGAAACTACCTGCTCTCGCAGTCTGCTTGGGGCACGGCCTGGGCCTGCGAAGCCGCAGGTGTGGTGCTGAGTTAGGTTGGCGGGCGTGGGAGGAGGGGACCTCCGACCTCGCCCGCGCGGTAATCATGAGAGAGATCGCGGGGGCAAGGCGCGCGCGCGCTGCCCTGGCGTCGTCTTCGCGAAAGGGACGAGGGGGCAAACGCAGCTGGCTGACGGCCCGTCGACTCAGCGGCCCGCCCTTGGGCCGCAAAGCCCGCAGGACTAGTGGTCATCGCCGCGCCGGAGAGAAGGGCGGGAGCGGGGCGGAGCGGAGGGCGGGAAATTATCACACACGCAGAGTGGGGGCGGGGGAGTCGGATTTTCGGTCGGAGGGCCCGTTGCGCAGGGCGGCGTTCGTTCGCCGGCTGCGCTTGCAGCGCACTGGCGGACAACCAGCAACGGCGTGACCCCCCAGGAAGCGTGGGCACCGAGGGGACGGATGGGACGGGCGGAGAGAGGGAGGGCACAGCATGGGGGGGGGCGCGGAAGTGCCAGCGACCTGGACCCGCCCGTCGCGCGCTGGGTGGTGCCCAGAAGCAACAGTGGATTACTCATGCGCAGGCTGCGCGCATGCGCGCGCGCGTGGGCACCCATGCATACTCACGCAGGGCGCTGGCCGTCTGTCTGTCTGTGCAGTGCAAGATGACCCCTGAAGCGGCAGGCGCGGGCCATCAATCGGACGGGCGGAGCCATACGAGGGCCAAATATTCTGGAGCTCCGCAGAGCGCAGCAGACTGTGGCAGAGAGAAGATATCTGCCAGTATAGTGTAGCACGGCCTCCGCCCCCATCCCGATCTCGACCCACCTCTTCTCGCCTCCGCCTCCAAGCCCAGCACCCAACAGGACCTCCGGTATCTTTCTTTTTTTTTTTCTTTTTTTTTCTCTTTTTTTGTTTCGTTCTTTTTTCCGGTTCTTCAGCATCTTTTGTCTCCTCGTTTCGTCTCGTCCGTATGTCGGGTTGCGCCGGGTCGGGTCGCGACGGTCGGGTCGGGGCGGATCGTCTATTCTCGGCGGCATGCGCTGCTGCTCGTCTTTTGTTTTTTTGTGGTTTGTTCTCTTTTTTTTCGTGTTCGCGGATTCGCTGCCGTCGATCCTCTTCTTTTCTTTTTTTTCCCACAGTTTTTTTTTTCTATTTTTTTAATTTGATATTACCTCGAATTTTATTCGATTTGATTCGCTTCCGTGTTATTTACTATTTTGTTTCGTCTTTTTTTTTCGGAGGCGGAAAACTTTTTGACTTCTCAATTTTGATAATTAATTTTATTTGGACCCGTACATTGTTGCGGAGCTGCTGCCCTTAGGCGATTCTCACACTACAGTAGCATTTTCCGGAATGCATCCGACTGCAATTACGGCCATTCCCGGATGCATCTGTGCATCTGGCCGCAATGACGTCCATAAAATAAGCAAAAAAGTCCTCGTCGCATGAGTATATGCCCTTATTGATTGAGCGGCCAATCATTCAGGTCGCGGAGGAGGGACGAGAAAGGCGCTAAGAACTGACGACACGCGCGCACGCACAAGCGCACACACGCGCGCGCGCACGCGGACTAACAAACATTGTCGCTCGCGCACACGCGTACACAAACGCACGTGACACAAGCTGCCGAAGGACTGGTCGAAGACAGCCGTGATAGTCCCGCCAGTTCCACTTGCAAGGATGAATCTGCCCGTAGATGCCGTCCGCATTCCTTCCAGAAACTCCCCGCGCTGAAGAATGTCCGCGCTCCTCGACCAGCGCAACATCATTCCACTTGCGAGGATCAATCTGCCCGTAGATGCCGTCCGGATTCCTTCCAGAAACTCCCCGCGCTCAACGACCAGCGCAACATCATTCCACTTGCAAGCACGAATCTGCCCGTAGACGCCGTCCGGATTCCTTCCGGAAACTCCCCGCGCTCAAGAATGTGTGCGCTCATCGACCAGCGCAACATCATTTGAATTTCAGAAAAACGCGGTATTTACATCACACCTCGCCCGAAAATCGAATCGACTCTTTAAGAAACAAAAAAAAAATAAAAAAATCGAATCGACTGGTGGCGTAGACAAATTACGAAAAAATGTAAAAAAAAACAACAACAACAGAAAGGCCAACCTAGGGCCTACTCACACTACGTAGGACTTTTCTACTTATTTGTGGACGAAATTGCGGCTAGATGCATACAGGTGTGACCGAAATTGCGGTCTGATTTCTCGAAAAAAAAAAAAAGAAATTGCGGTCTGATGCATTTTGGAAAGTGCTAGTGGGAGTTACCCCTACTACCTCTTTTTTTTTTTTTTTT